CTGACTCCCCCTGTTCAGGGATACAATCGTGCAATAACATACTTGCCGATTCCCCCTGTCTGGGGATACAGTGGCACAGTAACATACTTGCCGATTTCCCCATCCCTCAAAAGGAAATGAATTGTTAATTGTGGGCCATTATTTCTGCCAGCATGTAAATTCTTATTACCTGCCTCTATTTGTTATAATGTATTAGGTGGAATGCAAGCCAGACAATCACTTAATGCAGTTCATTAAAATAACCTTGAAGTAAATGACAATCGAAGCGTTCATTTGGCACACTTAAATTATATAGTGTGATTTAAGGCGTTCTTAATATTTTAATAAGGTTCATATTTTACAACAGTGTCAGTCCACTGAATGTTAAAGTATCATAGGTGAACTTGAGGTAAAAGTGTACTGTATTTATGAGATATATATATATATATTTACTTCCCATATCTGTAGTGTAAGATAACATTACATTTAGATTATATTGCATTTCTGATTTTACAATCAAAGGTACGAAAATGATCCTTAAATATTCTCAGGGGATATGATGATCTGTAAACACTGGTCTGGGCTGCATTTGCAGTGACATATCAAATTGGCCCGAATTCCTCTACTCATCTATTTGGTGATAAACGGCAATGTCAGTAAATCAGCCGCCTTACTGTTCCCTTACTTGCCGAGACTTTACTGCTTTTCTCAGGCCTGGATATCTGCATTTCTAAAACTCAAACAGCCTCAGCTATCGTGCTCCCAGAGTTTAAAAGTTAACCGGCTCCTCTGCTCTCTCATCCAGCCACTTGCCAAAGGCTCTGCCAAGCAGATATGCCTTAACGATGAATTTGGTTACGCTGGCATTGATGTGCTGTCACGTGTCTGCTTTCCAGGGTCCCGCCCCCATGACCAGCCGGCCCGAGGAGGAGCTGGACCGTCTGACCAAGCGGATGCTGTACGACATGGAGCACCCCCCGTCCGAGGAATACTTCGGTAAGACGGCGGAGAAACCCTCACACCCTCTGCTTCTTCGTCTTTCCTGGAGCAGGTGTCCATCTCAAGGTTTATGAAAAATGTTTTTAAACTAATATCGGACTTGTTCCAGTGTGGGATGTGGAACAGAAGATCGAAAGGTGTGCGTGTGTGTGTGTGTGTGTGTGTGTGTGTGTGTGTGTGTGTGTGTGTGTGTGTGTGTCAGGGGTGAAGAATCTGAGTGGGCTGCTGGCAGATTCCCCCCCTCTGTATTCGCCCTGTGAGTCATGAGTTCTGGCCTAGATAACATCCTGCGNAGCAGGTGTCCATCTCAAGGTTTATGAAAAATGTTTTTAAACTAATATCGGACTTGTTCCAGTGTGGGATGTGGAACAGAAGATCGAAAGGTGTGTGTGTGTGTGTGTGTGTGTGTGTGTGTGTGTGTGTGCGTGGGTCAGGGGTGAAGAATCTGAGTGGGCTGCTGGCAGATTCCCCCCCTCTGTATTCGCCCTGTGAGTCATGAGTTCTGGCCTAGATAACATCCTGCGTATTGGAGGACCATGGCTGAAGTAGAGAGTCCCTCATTAAATCTGTTAATTTGTAGAAATGTGTGATCTGTGTGGAAAGATAAATATGTACTTGCCGTTAAAATGTATCCTCCTCTGATGGTAAAGTTCAGGTTTGCTAAAGTAAACAAGTATAAAACAAGAACAAAATGCAACACAATAGTTAAGTACACATGCAAATAAAGAACAAATGTTATACTTGCACCTGTGCAATTTATGTATATAAAATCATACACTGATATAAAGCCTGACAAACATATGCTTTTATCCACCAGAAATATCCATTCATACCTCTTTCAGGTCCAGAGACTACAAACCCAGACCAAGATTTTGTTTCAACCAAGCAGTTGAGTCCTCTGTGACTGTGACTCTTTATACTCAAATACATCAACAAAATCTCGGCCTGAAATCTCCACCTCTGCTCTTTAGCTTCAGCTGTTCATACATCTGCACGTCTGTCAGAATGGTTCCGTGTGAGTAGTTCTCTTGTTGGGGGCATCCTGTGTCTTATAAGTACAGCTTTAACAGCATGTTACTATAATCCAGGGATTTTTAACCTTAAAGTAGGGGCCTACAAATGAAAACAGATTTTAGTGCTGGAGGACCCTTACTTGGAATGTGTGTTCACATTAGTGACTAGGAGGTACATTTAATAGTGATTTCTCTGAGGGTGTCTTCACTCTGACTGGGATACTATTGCCATTTTTTCAGTTTACAAAGCAAATCTCTGACTCCCTGCACGTGCTCTGTAGAGCCCATATTACCTAGTAGGACTCCTTCCACTCAAGTGCCCAGAGCCCCTTGACAGTATGACTGTTGCAGTGAGCTAGTCGTCTTCCTGTATGGTTAACAAATCTGCCCATTTTACTTTGACCTCTCATTAACATAACGGTCAGCAGCAGACCTGTATTCAGAACCATAAACGCTGCAGTGCATCTTCACTGGGTTGCGGAGCATGTGGATAAAAACAAATGAAAACAAACTTGTATTGCTGGACTTATTTGTTTTCTAATGATGAGAAGCCCACCCCCTTGGTCTGCAAATGCCATCCCACCGTGTTCGGAAAATTTTATTGAACCGTTCTGTACAGACCCCCCACTGCAGTCTGTACAGTGGTGGGCACTGTACAGTACTCTGTGACAGTACACTGTGACTCTTTATGCTCAGCTGGTTGGTTGAAACAAAATCTTGGTCTGGACTTACTGAACCTGAATTATCCACCTCTGTGCATCTACATATTATTAAATACACATACTCAGTATATTATAAAAAGACCTGGAACCATTGCCATCATGGCCTCCAGTTGTTCCAGTTAGATTCCTCCCGATCAGTCTGTTTTGCATAGGGAGGGTCCTCTTTTCAAAGTGTGTCTGGAAACAGGTGTGGCCTTTGGAGAAGTACAAACCCCAGAGAGGACAACAAACTTTTCTCTGCTGCCCACGTTCCCCTTCTGAAATCCCCACATGGTCACAAAGAACTCCAAACCACAGTCATCCCAACATCTCCATTGTGATGGCTGTGGACACGTGTCAGAAGAGAGTAGGGGGGAACCAACACCAAGGTCCCTCACCTCTGGCTTACGTGCTGCAAGCGAGGCATCTCTCTCTGTTCCTTCGGTGGCAAACATTGCTTTGTTGTAATGGCTTAAGAGTTAAAGCTAGTTTGATACACTTTGCTTGCTGGTCTAATTCATTTTTCTTTATCTGTTTTTTTTTTGTTCTTAATTGATCCAGCTTAAATTTGTGCTTCTTAGAAGTCTCATTACTAGTTTGCACCCAGTGCACACCGACAAGACTCTTTGTTGATTCATCTGTTTACAAAGGTTCTCTTTGAAATTTAATTAAGACTCTTTCTGTTTCTCTCATACTTAATTCTGTTAAACTTAGATTTTCTAGTTCCTTGTTTTATTCTTTTTTTGTTGTTGTTTCTAAATGGCACTGCTTTTCCTAGGAAGTGTGTTTTGGTTACAACCTTAAATGGTTTTGTTATTAATAGTTCCCAGAATCTGAACACTAGATGGAGGGCCTTGTGAATTGAGGGTAAGAGGTTGTTTAGAAACCTGACAGTGATTCTGGTGTGGCCTTTATCGTTGTTAGTAATGGGTAGTGTAGTAATGCAGAGTAGCCCCTTGCGCTGCAGGAAATGGCTGACTCATTAGACGGCATTTGTCCTCTCCCTGATAGCGTGCACACTTCTACAGACTCATGATTGCACCCAACTGATCTTGCACCCTGGCTTCAAAATTAGGGCGTCGTCAGATTTTAATCAGTTGGATTGCTGAGTGCGGTCACATCACAGGCTCAGAGATGTCACGTTGACCTTTTAATGGCATCCTTAGTATTGCTTTAAAGTAGTCCATGTGCAGCAGGTCAAAAGACTGCAATTTAGTTACGTCAGTGCTTCATATTCAATTGCTTCCTCTGGAAGTCAGGAGTCCATCTGGAGAGATTTGCGAGATTTTTTATTATAATACATGAATTGAATTGAATTGGTCCTTTATATTGTGTATTCCATACAGGGAAGATTCATTAAGTCAGATTGTGATGGCAGATGTTTCTGGTGATTATGAGCAGACATGGTAGGTTGTGCTGTGTAGGTGTATCTATTTCTAGGGCAGTGGGTACAGGTCATGAAGCTAAAAACCAGGCCACACTGGACCAGATTCATAAATCTTACTCTGTCATGTTCTGAAATTCCCTTCATTTAGCTTACTGTATTGCTCTCTACTATGTTTAATAGATGTATTCATTTAGAGATTGTTTAAACTCAATAGAATATAATGGAGAGACACACATGAGTGTATGATCTATAATCAATGATCTAAAAATAGTAAAGACTGTAAAATTAAGTTCAGCTTCCTAGGACACATTGCTTGTCATCCTGGTTCAACAAGAATGATAAGTTAGTGCTAGATATTTATCCTCTCATGTTAGGTACAAGTGCCCTCAAAATGTATATGAAATCTAGGTGAGGAATATATGAAGGGTTATCAAACTGAGATGAAAACAGCTTCCTGGGATTAAGGGCAAGCAGAAGAGCCAACGTAGCTAAATAAAGATGATATGGCTGGCAGTTGGCGCTTGCTCAGTGCACCATAGCCTATACTACACAGAAATAAAGGAAGCTCTGCAAGCTCGATGTGCATTAATGGGATTTCCGTTGGGCAGTTTTGAGCATTGTCCTAGATACTCGGTTCAATGGCTGAATACATTTGCATAGTGTTTGGTAGCCTTGAGCGAGCTCTCAATGGTTTTGGTTCTGGGTTTCCTCTTGCTTGGAAATGTCACGACAAGTGAAGTACAAGCCATTGAAGTGGCATGACCTCGGACTGGGTCGTGCCTGGCTGCTGTGTTTGCTTGTAGTCTTCACTGAACGCAGCCGGTTGTCATTATACGGGATGAGTCTCTTAGCTCTGCCGTCGGGCCCAGTTCACAAATGAGCCATGTCTCAGCTCCATGTTGTGTTTTGGCTTTTTACTACTCTTAATTCTGTTGCACTAGATACATTGACCTTACTCGTAAAAAACTGTGAAGGAACTAAAAGATTGTGTTATTTAAAAAAAACAAAAACAAAATGTACTATAAAAGAGAACTCCTTAAAACAATAATAAAACTTGCATTAGAATCCCCTGAAAGCCTTATTAAATTATTCTTGTCTGGAAGATTTAGTAACAAATTCTCTCCATTCGTATGTCTGGATTCTCTCGGAAGCAGCTCAGCAGCCTCGCTTAAGGTGTAATTTTATGCTGCAGGTAATGTAAAAACAGCTGAATTAACCAGGTTGGTTACCGTGACTTACTGTCTATAAAAGACAGGATACCTTGAGTCGCGCGCCGGCTGGCAAGCAGTAATGCGAGCCCAGTCCAGCTCGGTTCAGTGCACACAATGCCTGGGTTGGGCCTGTCTGCTTCAGAGTTTCCATGTGCTTTCTAAGAGTCATCGATTCAAGCCTGAAACCGGTGACACGGACCATAAGTTTCCAGATTGCTGCTGATAGTGATCAGATCGCTAATGCAGACAGCACATAAATACATCCTTTTCCCAGTCACCTGTCACTTTACTGTCTGTGTTTTTTTTTGTTTGTTTTTTTGGGTTAACTGTGTTTAAAACTGGCCATTCGAATGGAACATTTGTACAATTTGGATCAGATTAATTCAATATTATTGACTGTAAACGTTCTGTTAGGTTTGTCATTGTGTCCAGCATTCTTCATGTAACTGAGCCATGCTCTCTTAATTAAATGTGCTGAACTGTACACTTTATTTGAAGAACATCTGGACCTGCATGTCGCCCTGATCAAAGATTTGCTGGCCTTTTTCGGTGTTCTTGTGATCTTTATGGAAAAGGTCATTTCAGATTAACGTGTTATATTATTATCTCTGCAAATTTGGTTGTGATATATCCCAGGTTGTTTTTTCTGTAATACTGATACCCATATTTTTACACCAATGACGTGACAGGGCTGATGGATCATTACTGCCAAATGATATCGGCATGAAACTTCAGAGTAACTTGTAGCTCGTGCAGATGGAGCGCTTCCTTGTGTTCCGTTTAATTGCAAAAGACTGTAAAACATCGTTCAGCATCAAAATGATTCTCAGACCTCTGTGCAGTTTGTTGCATAATTTTCTCCCGCGTGCGCTGGAACCGCGGAACGGAACGCTCTCGATTCTGAAACACCTCGTTCGTCAGTGAAACTTGCTTAAATTATTGGGGAGGGAAAACAGAAGAATAAAATCACTCAGCTAAACTTAAATTAATTCTTAATATCTGAAGGTTTTTTTTTGCCAGATTCTATCAGCCTGAAGAATTACAAAGAGAGAACGCTCAGAGATATCTCTAAAGTCCCATTATTTCCAGATACCGCTAATTAAATTGTGAGTGTCATTAATTGAGTTGACGATATCTTTCATTGAGCTGAAGACATCTTAAACTCAATTAAAGATATCTTCAACTCAATTAAAGACAACTACATAACACTCTGTTATGTTCTCCTTCTTCAGTGCCGTTAGCCCGTTACGCCAAAGAAACTGTCCCGGTTGCTGACCGTTTTGACTTGGCTGCTTCCATGTGTATACATGCAATAAATGTAAATTGGTTTAAATTTGAATAAACTACTAATGAAATTGTATTTGGTTGGTGCAGTTGAATTTGTATGCCTGTATATTGCTGGTGTTCAACGTCGTGTCTTTGGGAGGAGATGAACCAGTGCTGTGGGTGCTTGGCCATCCGTGCCCTCTGACCCTGTGCCCTTTGCCCACAGGACGCTGTGCCAGCTGTGGCGAGAATGTGGTGGGCGAGGGCACCGGTTGCACCGCCATGGACCAGGTGTTCCACGTGGACTGCTTCGTCTGCATGACCTGTGGCACCAAGCTTCGCGGAAGGCCCTTCTATGCTATGGAGAAAAAGGCCTACTGCGAGCCCTGTTACATTGTGAGTATCCAGGCCGTCCCATTTGTCACAATGCTTGATTGTGAGTACTTAGTCAGTCCCATTTGTCACAATGCTTGATTATGAGTACTTAGTCAGTCCCATTTGTCACAATGCTTGATTATGAGTACTTAGTCAGTCCCATTTGTCACAATGCTTGATTATGAGTACTTAGTCAGTCCCATTTGTCACAATGCTTGATTATGAGTACTTAGTCTGTCCCATTTGTAACACTGATACACTCTCAGCACTGTAGTCTACCAAATGACAAAATTCAAGGCCAAAATACAATTGTCATGTAGAGGATTATGATGAACAAAGCCAGCCAGTTCTGTCAGCTAATGCAGTTCATCATATACTCTGGAGGTTTAACACAGACTGTCTCATGGGGTTCATTTGTGAGTTTTTTTTTTGTACATATAATTTGACTGAATTTGAAAGGTTGCCACATTTATGAGATTTGCATCCCAGGCATTTTCGTATTTCTTCCTCCAGAAAGTCTTGGTCCTTCCCATGGTTGCATTTTACCGCAGACACAAAGCCGCCCCCCCTCGAACTCCGCTGTCCCTCGCACTGGCCGGCCCCCGAGGCATTCCCAGTGCTGCCAGCAGATGTGCACTTGCAGGACACTGACGCTGGTATCGCGTTTCCATGGTGCGAGTGGGATTCAGCTGGCCGATAGGCAAACCTGTGGGGAGGCAGATCAGATAAGCACCCAAGAAACAGACGCGTCTCCCTTGAGATGTCAAAGGCAGCATTCAAATCAAACTCAATTCCAAGATAGGATTACTTCCCTTTGTAGATCTGAAACCGAATAATGGTCTTCCCCGCTGCCTCTTCCTTTTTCGTAGCTAGATGCTTCTTTTGGAAATTTTATCATTGCTTCAAGCTACAGATCTCATCGAAAACAGGAAATTTGAGTGCCGCGGTGAAATCGTCGTTTCTGAGAGTTCACGAGATGAAAGTTTTCGTAATCTTGTGGCACTTCTATTTACTGTAACTACAGGTTACACAACTTCACTGGAATGGAAGTGCTGAGGATGCTGGCTACGCGTTGCCGTGCCGAACGGGGATGTTTCTTTGTGATCATTTGGGGTATTTAAATCAAGCAGGGCAATATGGCGGCCTGGCAGTTAGTAGAGTTATGCTGCTTGCAGTAGTTCAGCCCCGGTTCTCTGCCCGCAGGGTATGCAGCTGATTCAGTGCCACCCTAAGGTTAACAGTGGTACTCTGTTAGCGCTCTTAGCCAAGCACACCCTGTTTATGCTTGCAGTAAATGTCCATGCGCCTCCACATCCTTCACTTCCGCAGTGATAAATCCAGTATTTTTTCCACTACAGTTGCTATTAAATTTGAAGGCCCACATCTCCAAGGTATTTGTTTTTCTTCTTTTTTTTCCGCTGAATAGGAAAGGAGAAGTTGTAGGTTAGTGTAGTGGTGTAAAATTACCCCCAGACTTTCAGGGAAGTAACTGTCCCTCTTGTGGTGCAGGACGTGTCGATTTGGGGCAGCTGTCAGGACAGGTGTATCCTGTGTGGTCCTCTTAGTGAAGCTGTAATAGGGGACACTGCCATGCAGTAGGCTTATGCTTTTCTGCTTGGGATACATCATTGCTGTTATTTACTTTGTACATGTTGCTGTTGCATGAAGTAACGGTATTCAGGCTACGTATTTACATTTTAGTAATATTTCTGACACTTTTATCCAAAGCAACATATAGTATATGGAAGGGTTACAATTTATGTGTGTGCTCTGGGATTTGAACCCACAACCTTTGTGCCGTTAGAGCTACAGGAGCATTCAAAGTAAAGTTTAATTATTTTCAAATTAATATATACTTTGCAATACACCAGTACTTGCCTCCATTGGCACTGGAAGGATTTTCAAATTGGAGGAGACCGAATTTACCCCGACAGGGGGGTGGGAAGTGAGGGTGGGGGGTTGGTGATGTATATTGTGATGTCGCAATGGGCGTACTATGTGGTATAGGAGACTTGTAAAGATCATTTTAAAGATCTCATCAATTAAAATAAGACTAACACTGATTAGGGTACAGCTTCACAAAAACACATCTAAAAAAATAACTGATTCATATGATAAAATGAGTTTGTCTGATACAGGCCTTCCATCTCCGTCAGGTACTGTACTGTATATGGGTTTTGTTTTCCTGCTCCACATGCATAGCGAATTGGCCTCAGTAACAAGTGGATTCATAATATTTATGTGTTTATTTGTGTGTGGGGGGTGTGTTTCCCCCGTTCTCCCTATTTCTGATGCCCCTGCTTGTTTCCCTTTTCAGTTCTGGGGGGGCTGACTTTGCCGTTCTACACATAACTCCCCAGTTGGCCATCGTGTTCATTCTGAGTGAGGGCAGTTGATGGAAGTCGCCATGGTGATGTTAATAATCGCTTCCCGGGCAGGAGGCCCTGTGCCGCGCTCTGTCTCACCGTCCTCAGCAGTGAGCTGAAGAGCCCCTGCAGTGACGTGTTTCTCCTGAAAAGAGAGGAGATGGGCCTGAATCACTCGCGCGGCGTTTCTCAGAAGTCCCGGCCGGCAGGGCGACGCGTGGCATTCCAGGAAATCCCACACAGCACTCTGTGCGGCCACCTGACGTGTCACACTCCTGCTCGCTGCCTGCATTGTTTAAAGATGCGACCTCAGACCGGCCTCAGATACGCACGCCTGTCTGTCACATGGTGGTCTCAGTGGGGACAGTGGGGACGATGCAGTGGCCCCCAGCTCCACCCTTGTTCAGTAGTCGTGACTCTGTACCTCTGTGCACCGCAGCTCAGCCTTGCTGTGGACAGCAACCTCACACTTTCATTCCCCCTCCTATTATGAGCTGCTTGACCACAGACATTCATAGACGTGGCATTTTCAGGGCTTCTTAGACAGTGAACCACCATGTAATGCATATAGAGTAGCAGGGATTTCCAATGTGTTGGCATCTGCAAATCGGTTTATGCTGTTCAGAAATTTTATAAACCAGTAAAACAGCAATTTCATGAGTGTACTGTTTCCATTCCTGTCCGATATGAACAGAATGTGCGAATGCGAGAGGGCATTAAAAATTTGAAATGTATAGTTAGTATGTATTTTTCTAAATTAACCCTCCAGCGTTCTGTGGCCCATTGGAATACTGGTCCACGAACCTGGAATTGGGATCCCCTAATATAGAGCATAGATTATCCTGTTGGACCTTAGGACCTTGCTGTCCCACCTGTTATCGGAAATTCGGGGCAGTTGTGAGCCGCGCTGTTTGTATTCGATGGGAGCGACTCCGGCGCCACGCGCATCATCCTCATCTGTTTCCTTCACTTTAGTCCAGCGCTTGTCTCCAGGCAGAGTGACTGTCACTCTCTGACAATCGCTCCCCTTTCTGCTATGGCAGTATGGAGGTCTGGCGCGGCCGCTTTGTCAGTCCCCACTTTGCATGGAGCGGTTTCTGTGCCACGATGAAGCGATTAGCGACAGGCCGCTATTGTTTTCTTCTTCCCGTTTACGGTGCACCTATGGGCCGTGCCGTCGCCCGTGCCGTTGTCGCCCCAGAATCACGTTCCTGCCACGTTTGCATACACCACGCGTGAGGATGCGATTAGATTAGTCGGGCATGTCTCACGCGTTCAGTATAGGATTGAAGCTGCGGCCTGCTTTGCATTTCCAAGAAAAGCACTATATCCCTCATTAATCTGTGCTTCAGGGCCTCGGGCTGTGTTAAGGGGCCATGAGTATTTGCGGATACAGGCTTCAGTGATTTTAGGCCTGAGTTACTGAGATACTCTGACTCCTGTAAAGCTAACACTCCTCGCCGCATCAAATTATGGGGCTCAAGATCACCCTTGGCCCCTATGGGAGGCCCTCCGTTAAAAGCCTCACGCGGAGCGCTGTAATTTCGCAGGATGAAGTGCTCAGGTCACAGGGATCGATTCCTGGTTTCATAAGTAAAAATACGTTTCGAGTAGCTCCACTCGTGCAAGCTCCGAGGCGAGCTTCCTGTGCATTCCGTTACCACTGGCTATGACGGCCAGGTGGAGGCGTTGCCTAAAGTCCCGCTATCCCAGAATGCTCCATTCTTCCTGTGCATAGGCTGCAGCCTCTGGATCTGCCATTGATCCAACTTTGACTTCATTACCTAACTGTCACATGGGGGGGAAAAGGAAAATCATTGAATCATTCTAACAGTCTTTGCAGTATACAAAAAAAGCATAGTATGTTTACAGCTGGTATAGAAGCATTTTGGTTCTATACCAGCGGTTTTGCCTCCAATTAGTTGCATTAATGAATTAAATAAACCGGAATGCATCGGGTCATGTCTGCCTGCTGTGGTTATATCTTGCAGCCAGAGATTGAACGTGACACGCACTTACCCTCCTGCATAAATAATTAGCAGCACCAGGCTCTTTGGGTCCTGTGTGGTAATATCGGCTCTTGTTTGGGGTGAGCTGCCCTGGAGTTGTGCTTTGCCACCAGCATGGGTAATTTCCACTGAGACCTCCCCCGACTCTGACCCCCCCGACACTTACAGATAGAGTGCTTGGGCTTCCTAAGGAGGTGTTTTCGTTTCTTCATTGCCCACCAGCTTGTTGTTCAGTCCCGTCCAGGCTGCTGTTTGTCAGACTCGCCGGTTCCTACCTCTTGAACACGTTTCCACAAACGGGTTCGAGCACTTGCAAGGCCAAGTAAAAGAAGTCCCAGCAGTAATACAGCAATCTGCAGCCTCGTAGCAGAAATTAAATGACAAACGAGGGTTGACCGGAAACATTTGTTCGTTTGTCTCCTTTGGATACCTAATTGGGTATATCTGATAATCTGAGTTCTGCGCTACCCTATGTTGAACACGCTGCTAAGAATTGTTTCTAAACCCATGTTTCCTTTCCTCTTGTTTGAAATGGTATTGTTTACTTAAATCAGTATTAACTAGTCTTCAGATCGATGCAACACAATGTGTTATTTATAGAGTATTTCCCAGGGTTAGTCCGTGTTTATGCCAGGGTCAATGTGCATTTTGTATACCTGTTACTGTGTCATGTGACATGCAGAATGTGCAATGGCCCATTTTCAGCTTCTGTGCAGAGCACACCTCTTCTGCAAACAGACCGAAGCATTTCAGGACTGTGACTCATTTGTGCTGCAAAATAATTTCCTCCCGCCCTAATTTCCACCCCTTTGCCAGTGCGGCGCTTGGTCTGGGAACTCGCTGTAGCCCGTCTGCCCCTTCCCAGGGCTGAAGGTCGATGGCCGTGAAGGTCACAGTTTCTGTGAGCTCAGAAGTGATCTGTATCTTAGAGCGAGTGGACAGGCGTTCACATTTCTGAACGGCTAGGTTCATATGCTGTCAGAGTTGTTTGGTGTGCCGAAGCCCACTAAGCGGAGGTGGAGAGTTCAGGTCCAGAAAGTAAAAAATCCAGACCAAAATTTGTTTCAACCAAACAGTTATGTAAAATGAGGCACAGACACAGGGTACTCAACTGCTTGGCAAAAGCAAAACCTTGGTCAGGATTCTTAGATTCTGGACCTGAGCTATCCACCTCTACCATAAAGGAACCTAATAACACGCAAAGACTTGACTCTGCATTGCCTGTTACTTTGTGTCAAACACAGCTGACAGTAACTTGTGTTATTACTAGAAATATTTACTATTGCGTCAAACGAACAGGAAGTGGGTTTGAACAAGTTAAGAAATCGAGACGCGTTCCAGACAGGCGTCCCCGGTCCAGCTTTTGGCAAATCCAGACCCTGATGTATTATAATATTGCATTAACATTTCGAGAAATAACAAGCCACTTCTGTCAGTGGTTTCTTAGTTGACGTTTCGAGGTGCCACTTGTGAAATCAGTGGCCTGAAATTGTGCTGATTGGCAAGCGATGGTGAAACCTTAATCACTTGGATACGGCCCATAGGGTACCATCTTTACCACTAAGATGTCATGGTCCTCATTCACATGTGCACAAGGATCCAGGAAAAAAAACAATAAATACCTGTCCTTCAGCCCAAGATAACAACCTGTTTTACTTTGCTATTGATAATTATGCTGTCCGTCTTAGCACTGTGCAAATTCATCTTTTCACTCTCCCTCTGTTTCTCTCTCTTTTTTTTTATGTTTAATTGCACATGTAATTGCACAATTCTTAAGTCACCCGGCTAAGTCATTTCTCCTCTCCTCCACCCAGCTGCTCACTTACGAACTTTGCGATGCTAATGTCTCTGATTAATTTGCTGTCAGAACTTTTTGTTGCGCTTCAGAGCCAAGCCCTAACAGAGATGAAATGGTGAAGGACTTGCACATCATGTAAACACAGTCCACCTAATTTATTCTATTTATTAGCCTTTTAATTTCAAGAGCAACTGAAGTGGATGTTTATTATCATTATTATTATTATTATTATTATTATTATTATTATTATTATTATTATTATTATTAATCATCATTGTCGTCATCATTCCTAAGAACTAATAATCCTGAATGCACTTATTTTTTCGAGTTAGATTCAATGATTGTAACGTACTGTACAGCTCTTGCTCCAGTGCTAACTTGTCCTTGTTACCGGTCGTTCATTGGAAGCTCAGCCTGGCTGCAATTGCGACTAGTTGATTCCTTCACAGCTGTATGCCTGAGATGTACCTCCCTTGTACTTTGCTAGTATGTCAAAAAAAAAATAGCATGCTCGTATGTCAACATAATAATAATAATGTTGTGGTTGTTATTAATGTTATTGTTGTTATTGTTTATATTATTATTATTATTATTATTATTTGGCACATTTTCTTGTGTGTATGGATTTTTTTTGCGTGCCCTGCAATTTCTGGGACTGGTTCCAGGCTCCCAGAGATCCTACAGTGGAAAAGCGTTTGTAAGGTGGCTAAATGGATGTTGCTAATGACACATTACAATGCAGTTCCTCACTGTTGGTGCTGTTGGGTATTTGTCAAAGCATGTTAGGTGAAGTGTGCCGCGTTCAGCAGCTCTCCGCTCTCCCAGTGCCTGGCTTGAGTTCTCAGCTGACCCCGTTTTTCGGATCCAGGGGGGGAATAACACTTTAATCATATTGGTCTGCTTGTTTGGTTGACTCACCACAAAAATGTTCAGAAGAGAAATCCAGGGATTCAAATAAGCATCTTTGTCCCAGGGAGGCTTCTAAACAGTGTGTACGGAACAGGGTGGGATGTGAATCTGTAGCCCCTGCAATGTGCGGAAAAATGCGAAGCCGGGGTAGTTTGGCGTAATTGATTGTGAACAGATTAAATGGCCACCAAACTATGGAAAATATGCATCGCAAGTGGGGGGCAAATGGGGGGCGGTGTGACGTAGCAAATGTGCGAGACTGGAAACATTGATTCCCTCGGGCCTGCAAACGCCAGCGGTTGTTGTCCTATGGGTGTCAGAAAACAGTTGGACTCTATGGGCACCAAGGGAGAGCCCAAGTCAGATTGGACACGCGCTGCCCACTCGCGCCACAGCCAAACGCCGACTGACCTAAATTTTGCTCTGCGTTATCTATCCAGACGTATGTTTAGTCTCCTGGGCAAATACTTATTGAAGCGTATGAGGCTGGGCACAAATGATACACGCTGAAATGCGTTGTGCTTGGAGGCTGGATTGTAATCTCTGGCCATCCTTCAATGTCTAGTGCCCTCTTGTGGCCATCGGTGCCTGAATGTGCTGTTTTTAATTGGGATTTTTTTATTTTTTTTTTGATGATGTACATGGGGTTTTTGGTAAAGCATCTTTAAAACTTATTACCAGGCAATGTACCCAATCATGTAAATCACCTGGCTCAGCTGTGACGTTGGTGCAACGATTACAGCTGCGAAGGGCTTTTCTGACCACATTTTCTCAGTCTAGAAGTTTTCCCTCTTTGGAGTTTCGGGAAAATATTGAATGATAAATGTTGAGTTGTCGTAATAAATATGCATGATTCTGAAATTAAGTGGCGGGAAGTAATTGAACGTACCCTGGAATTGTGGGAAAAGGCGTCACGTGCAGGCAGGCTGGGTATTGCGAGGTGGTTCCTGCCACACAAATCATTCCTCGGTGGACAGAAACGGAAGCCCGTCGTTCTTTGAGGTGCCCATGTAAAACAGTCTGAACAGCACCAACGTGTCAGTTGTTTGCAAACCGTGTTGCCTGGTACTGGAGGTCTGCTCTGTTTTATCATGCAAAATCAGATGCTAGGAGTCTGCATGCAACTGGTCATAGATCTTAATATAAATCAACATGTCCAGGAAGCTTGTAATGCAGCTGTTCCATTTAAAGTTCCGTCCAACAAAAAAGGGAGAAAATATATAATATATATACACACACACAGACACACACAGTACTTGTTTCATAATTTAATCTCAAAAATAGAGGAGGTACCGCCTTGGAAAATGTATTATCTTCTTATTCTTTTTTTAGCGATCAGCTGCCACTGATTTTATATATAATATAAAATACACACACACTCTCTCTCTCTGTCCCTGATTTAGGATCAGCTCATCCTCTCTCAGTCATAGCTGTATCTGGGCATTGAAGGTAGATAATCAAACTAATCCGGGACTCGTGCCAGCCGTGTCCGTAACACCGGCATCAAAAGGCCCATTCTGCTGACTGAACATATTACAAAAGAATGTTTGGGGACTTTGCCCAGTCTGAAATACTCTCACATTGACTGTTAGTCTGACCCAACTCCTGGCTCCCACTGTGTGTATTTGTTTCCAAAGTATTTTTAAGGATCGATTGGATTGACTCAGACATATTTTCTTAGCTGGTCTCTGTGTATTTGCTTACCAGTCAGCAGAGTAATCTGAATCTGCTTTATCTATTCATGTACAAGTATGTACAAGGCAGAAAGAAAGTAAGTAAAAGTCCAGACCAAGATTTTGCTTCAACCACCCAGTTGAGTACATAGAGTCTCAGTCACAGTTGTTCTGGATTTTTACTTTCTGGACCTGAATTATCCACCTCTAGTACAAAGAATTTGTTCTTGTTTGTCCAGTCATACATATTGCACATATTAATATGGATTAAAACACATCTGTATATTACTTATTTAAATATGTGCCCTGGATTTCATACCCCATGCAGAACACCCTGGAGACGTGCCATGTTTGTGCCCAGCCCATCATGGAGCGCATTCTGCGTGCCACGGGCAAGGCTTACCACCCGCACTGCTTCAGCTGCGTGATGTGCCACCGCAGTCTGGACGGCATCCCCTTCACTGTGGATGCCAGCAACCAGATCCACTGCATTGAGGACTTCCACAAGTAAGGCGTCTGCCGGCTGACACGCCCCTCTCTGGTGACCCTGCCCATAGACACGCCCCTCTCTGGTGACCCCGCCCATTGACACGCCCACACTTCTCAACACGTGCCATGCGTTATTCTGAGCCTTTGAAAATGTGTACTGTTTCCCCCGTTATACACAATGTATGCCTTTTAGAATAAAGCCATTATTTTAAAATCACATTTAAAACTATTACCAGCATTGTCGGTTATGAACAATAAAAAATAAATGGCATAAACTGTATGCAAAACATGGAGAATCTAAGGGAGTGATTAACGGTTAGGGCTGGAAAATAGAAGGAGCGCATAATTTTGGAGCTTTTATTTTGGGCTTAGTGAGACTTAGTTAGATGTGTCTTTGGGGCTGTGCATTTTGGCTGGTATGTACGTGTCTGCTGGTCTGAAGGACGCTGCCCCCTGTCTGCCCTGACAGGAAGTACGCCCCGCGCTGCTCCGTATGCAAGGAGCCCATCATGCCAGCCCCTGGGCAGGAGGAGACCGTGCGCATCGTGGCTCTAGACCGTGACTTCCACGTGCAGTGCTACCGCTGTGAGGTCAGTGCCCCGTCGACACGGCGACCTGTCTACATGTCCCGCCTAGGGCTTACCTCCCTCATGTCAAGATGGCCCTGGTTATCATTACCAGAAGTTAGCACTTCATGTAGAATGACTAAGGAGCTGTACTGGTATCCATTAGCTTCTTATATTAGGCCCTGCTCTATGCTGTGGTGTGGTAAGCCTGCATTTGCTCAATAAAAAGCCAGACAAATGAGTATAAACATGGATCTGTTTGGTTGGACGTATATTACACTTAAGTGCTGAAACAGATTGTCAGTGTGCTGAATGCATTGCTGGTCAGCCTAACCACAACCAGCACCCCACGCTGAAACTTTTCCTGTGGGGTGGTGGGAAATCATTGACTGGGGACAAATACGTTTCTGACTCTGAGGGTGCTGACCAGCGCAGGTTCTGACCGCTGAAGGCTCTGTCTGGTTTGAGGCTCCTCTGCCGGACCTCCTCGTTCTTCAGAGACGCCCGGTGTCCTCCGCGGCCCTGACGTTGTCCTCCTCCTGCAGGACTGCGGCTCCCTGCTCTCCGAGGGCGACAATCAGGGCTGTTACCCCCTGGACGGCCACGTCCTCTGCAAGAACTGCAACACCACGCGCATCCAGGCCCTCACTGCCAAGGCCACCACCGACCTTTGAGGGCATTCCGGTCCTGCCTGCACCCCATAGCCCCCAGCAGCAGCCTGCACCGCAGCACTCCGCCCCGGACTGGCTAATAATCCCCCAACCTGAACCATATTACCTACACAGTGCTACTCTGCTACATACCACATATCCTACACTGTCGCCCAGCAATTCACCTCAATAACCCTTGTGATCCAAACCCACGTACCTTGCAGGGGCACGTCCCGCAGGTTGAGCTTCCAGCCAATCACATTTGAACACACACACACACACACACACACACACACACACACACACACACACACACAAACAAGACCACCTTCCTCTGTTCACTGAGCTCAGGCAGCACTTCGGCAGTCCAGACGTTAGGCCTCAGTGTGTGAGCAGGTACGCTAATGTCTAACCGGCTAATCTATGCAGCTTTCCCAGCAGTCTGACCACGTAGCTTCCTGTCAGCGCTCAGGCCATTTGACGTGACTGTCAACGCTTAAATCCTTGTGTATAATTGGGCCGATGGTCCAGGCCAAATGCCACCCAAACTCAAATGTTTGTGAGACGTGAGCTCCGTAGGTATAACACGGGCGCGAGAATGTCCAGATTTTTCCATCCGTTCACGGCCCAGAGAGTTTGGTCTCGGCTATGCAGCAGTTTACTGAAAAAAGGGATTGTGCAGTTTGAATTCTCTTCACTTCATATGGCCCCTTTTATTATTGTTTAATATTAGCAATGCTACATATTTTCCTATTAGTATTGGCTTCATATAATGTAGGAGACTTGCACACTTAGATTTATGCATAGCCAGTAATTGCTTTACACAATCAGCTGGATTAAGCAGTAGGTTTGCACTTAGTTGAGTGAAGATTATCCTTCCTTCACAAATAGTTCTTTTTTTTTGTTTAGGTATCCATTAAAACATGGTCTTTTACCAGTTTGGTTGTGAGATTGATATGCAGTAGTATAAAATATAACTCAGTGACACAAGTCATAGGTACTAAGGAAGGTTTAGCAGAAACATGAGTGAAATTAGTAATATTAAATTTTTTCTTACATTGTGTGACAATCTAACATGAAATTGTCATTACTTATAAATATGAAATCCAGATATTTGTTATATTTAAGGTTACTTATTAACATTGCTGGTGGGTACCTAGACCAGAATCATAGGGCTCATTTTCCAGACTTTATTCCTTCCCTGTTGCTTCCTCCCTTTCTCCAGAGAAGTCTTTAGTGAAAGCACAGTGCATTATCAGAAAAGTTGTTTAAATAATTGTTAAATACTGCTCTAGTAAACACCTATATACTTAGCATAGATGCTGGCAAAGAGAGACATCAGTGTGTACACTTAAGTCCAAAGACAGAACATTTACCAAAGATTGCACTTGAAAAGGTTTATTGAATATGTATATAAGCAATTTATGACTCGGAATATGCAAGTGAGACTCGTGTGCTGCGCGTGTCGCAGCGGCGTCTGTGAAGCAGTCCGCCTTGGGGCCCCGTCGCTCACTTTCAGGCATACCTGCAAATTCACACTGCTTCGGACAGCTATTTTAGCTGGAAATAAAAAATGTGCTGAGCTTTAGGCAACTATGTTGAGAAATCCTTTATCTGTCACCTTTTTTTTTCTTCCTTGCTTTATTTCTGAATCCGTTTATTCTTTCTCACTTTCTTGCCTTCTTTTTTACATCGTATTTAGTCCAATGTGTTACCTCATATTTTTCAGATCCTCTCTTAAACCAGCCCTGAACTCACACTTCCTGCGAGGTGCAGATACCCCGTTAGCTAGGAAACACTATACCGTAATTCGCAGTTCACTTTAAATGCCTTTTCGAAGTGCTGCAGCCGCGCTGAAATTATTTAACTGCACACTATAGAAACGTTAACTTGAGAGAGAGAGAGAGAGAGAGCTATTGTGACCCCAGAAAGGTAGATTTCGGCGAAGAATTCTGAAAATCCACCCCAAAAAGGGGGTCCCCCTCTCAGCTTCCCCAGTAATCACTAGTCAGGCGTGGTGCGTGGATTTAAATACTGCGCCAGATGAACTCAGATCGGCGTTTTCCCGAAGGATCCGTGACTGGTGGGTTTAATATGAAAATTACCTGTAGTGCACGGCAGGGAATGCCTCGTGTCCCCTCAGGGAAACGCACAGCTTTCCTCCCCCCCCATTCCCACTCAGTACTTTAATATTTTTAAACTCATTTTACAAAGCAGCGCTCAGAGCAGTGCTGGCGTTCCCTACAACACGGTAATGGTTTTCACATTCCTTATAAATAACAAAATATTTAAAGAAATTATGCAAATTTATATAAGGTAGTATACCTTCTTTGTTTACTCACCTTCCTTTTATTTCCAGTGTTATTTAAATGTGGCAAAGTAGCCAAGCAAAGTGCCTTTAGCCCATGAATGTTTTAGTGCTTAATATTCTTCTTAAGGGTAATAGTATCGTGGGACCACATGCAACTTTATAGTGCTGGGGAGATTTATTATTAGATATGGCCTATACTTTTTTTTTTGTTGACAGCGATCAATAGCTTAATGTTTTTTGTTGTTTTTTTTTGGGGGTGGGGGAGGGGGGGGTGATTTTTATTGTCATGTGTGTTGTGTTACATCTGGAAACCGTTACTACTTCTCTGCACCAAGAGTGTGTGAAGTTAAGCTGCGTCTCTGAGGTGTCTTGTACCATCACGTATGAGTTAATATAATCTGCCGGTGTGACGCTTTCAGAGGTAACCGTGACGCCACGGAAAAATGAGAAATTGCTTATCGTATTGTTACTATTTCTAACCATTTATGGAAGTGCAGACAGCCCATGTTCTGTGACTAATCACGATGCTGTATTGAGATTATGACCATAGAAATATTACACTAATCTGTATGAACTGTGGAAAATGTTTCTAATACCATGTGTTATTCTATTATGACGTCACAAGATGTGGACGTTAAAGGTCTTAGGTCTTAATCTAGTTTAATGCGGAGGAGATGTGAAGTGTAATGTTCTCCTAGTTCTTATTGGTTTTGAATTCAGTAGACGTTTCTGAGGCAAGGGTGCCATTCTGTTCTGTTATACTACGCCACAGGTCAGGTGTAACGAGGTCAGGACAATCCCGGAATGCAAGACTTGTCTCTTATCACCTGTCTGCTTCCAAGCAACCTACATGCTGTCTTTTTAAGTCGTCGGCGTCCTAAGTCGGGCACATTATGCAAACTGTTTACTTTGGATTCACCTCTCCTGCATTAATAAATAAAAGCTTCAAAATGGAGTTGTCATCGTGTCATTTCCTGATCTTTAACTACAGTTCTTTCTGCTGAGCAGATCTTGTTGAATCATTCTGGCAAAGTATAATTCCGTAGTGGTAAATAATTGCCTGCATCGATTGACATCAAGTACATCATACATCTCCGGCTCCCCTGACCGGGATAAGCGGTTAGATTAGATGGAAATCAAATATCCTGACATAAGATGGGCATTTCCAGGGGATTGTAAGTCAAGCTTGACATGAATGATTTTGCTTAGAGTTTCACAAATTGCTTAGAGTTTAAAAATTAAGGCAAAGAGTGTGTATGTGTGTGTGTGTGTGTGTATATATATATATATATATATAAATTATTATTTTTTGCTGTGTTTTAATAGCCTTCATGAGCTGCGAATGCACTGTGTGCATGTATGTGTGTCCCATTCTCCTCCTCAGCCGGGGATTTAATTTGCTGCTCATTAATCTTATCTACTGTTTACAAACAAATTGATGGCTTAGGGAGCCCTTGGCTGACTCTGAAACTGCACTCTTGGCACAGGATGGTGCTAAGGGCCCAGGGGACAGCCTGCTTTTTGTCTGGTCCTAATGTTCCGAATTATGGCCTGAATTATTTACCAGGAACCGGGAGAGCAGAAGGCAGCAAAAATAGGCCGCAATCGTGCATAATCTTACGTGCCCCATTTAAAATTAAGCTGTAATTTGCTTAGATTTGCATAACATTACAATATATCTTGATGCTCCTCTGCTCCGAGCCCAATGTTTAAGACTGAGCATCTTTTAAATACTGGCAGCAGGGGGCATGACTGTTAGGCTGCCACAGGAGATGATATAATCTGCAAATTTGTTTTAGTCTTAATAGGTTTTTGGAAGGGGGGGTGTTGAAAGCACAGCCAAGAATATTATATTGCTCAAATATTTAAGGTATCCTGGAATTCAGGCCTTGCGTATCTGGAACCAAATGGATTTGGAGTGTGTTCAATGTTTTTGGGCTGGCTAATGGTATTTGTTAGGGGTTAGTGGTTGTCAGGGGCACACTGAGATGATGGGCATTATATTAATGAGATGTACATAGTAACTTTTTTTGCTCCTGTGACACAAAATTTCTGGAAGCCAAATCTGTCAACAACATAAATGATTTTTGTACTAGGTAAACAAATCAGTAAGTAACAAGGCTTTATGTGCAATATAAATGCAATTGTTTTGCCTATGCAAATTAAATTGTACTGCAATGGACACTATTAACTTGTAATACTTAATTACAGGTTTAGTGTTTCAATGATTATTTGTAATAATTAAGTAAGTGTAATAATTAGAGATGTAAACGGCCTGAATGTTGCAGCTGCGGTGTGGATGGTAGATAGCGTGGTGATTTTTAGTGCTGTTCTAATTATTACTGCAGGAAAGCAGCTGCTGTAATGGTGAGCGACCTTTTTAACGTGGATTATACAGGCCGAATGCCCATTGGCTGAAAAGGCATGTTTGAGGTTAATGATCTGCTTGTGTGTTATAGTATGTTTCTGTCAAACCGTTCAAAGTATCATGTATGTTATGCTCAAGTAGCATTTCAGTAACAGCTTGTAGACTCGCGCTTGAGTGTAAACCTGTCAATGTGGTTAATAGTTATTTGGTGCAGATAATTCCACAGCTTGAGGGAAAATGCAGAGGACAGCAATGGGGACGAGGGGTTTTCTGTCATTTTGTGATCCTGTCAGCAAGACTACTGGCTGTTCTTCTACCCCCATCGGTCCGTCTGAGATTGGGATCGTTGGTGGGCTGCCAGAACAGACTCGGCAAAGTCAAAACACCGTAAATCAAGGCAGGCTGTAAACATTGTTTAAGCTCTGCCTTCATGTGACGGGGGGGGGGAGACCGACAGCAGGAGCGTATGCTAACGCCACCGCTTAATTGAAACGGCCCGGGAGAAACGGCAATCCGAGTCGGTATGAGGTCACCGCTGGAAGTGAGCCATTTAACCGGAGCATCGATGCACGTCACAGCGACATCGTCCTGGGAGCCTCGGTCCGGACTGGTTGCGTCGTCACGGGCGTGTTTGCGAAATGGGAGGCGTTTCGTTAATCACGACGGGCCGACTGAGTCACCGCCAGCTGCCTCTGTTTCTGTTTATCTGCGCGCTGCAGGGAGGATGCATTAGTGCAGGGGCCAGAGCGCGAAAACAGCCGTGGCCACACAGGCCTGGAGCTGCTTCACATTCCCCATAACATTTTAAGCTGTTGCTCCTTGGTAACTATTCAAAAATGCCAAACTGTTGTTCCTTGTTTTTCTGCAGAAAAAGAACATGCCTTATTAAAGTTATTCAAAGCAGCTCTGAGTTTTTTTTTTTTTTTTTTTCTTTTTCAATTTCTTCGTTTTGGTATTACATTTATTTCCTGATTTTCCCTTCCCAGAATGCAGTATTTGTTTTCCTCTGCATTTGAAACTGTTTGTAATTAAATCCCCTCTTAAATTACAAAATGCACTTATGTGAAGAACTAGGGTTAAGGCGCAGAGTGCCTCTGAGCATCCTGAATATTCGTATAACAAAGCCGGAACAAAAACGTAATCTGAGTGCATTTTCTGAGAATTGGGTGCTTCTGTTCCTGTGATGGGATCCCATGTGGGGGAGACACTGGGGACCAACCCCCCCCCCCCCCCCCCCAGCTTTAGTCCGCAAACCTGCTCTGGCATTTTGCTGCTTTAACTGCCCACTGGTTGAGCATAACATAAAAGGCTTTTTTTTTTTTCATCTCGAAGGCCTAGTTAGTTTAAAATAGACACGAAGAGTCATATGATAGAGAGAGTGGGAAACATGATTTCCCAACAAGCGGAGCTGTTTAAACAATGCAATGGGGTCTTGGGAATGTTACGCAGATTCTGTGCCCTACAGCGCTTCTAGTTATAAAAGTGGCTTTTGAGAAATATCGAAATCGATAGTGTTTTTTGTGCGGCATGTTATTCCAGGGTTGGAAAGTTTCTTTTTTTTTTTTTTTTTTGCCTCCTCTTTTTGTGAAACGCACTAAAGTGAAGGCGAGATCACACGCAAGTAGTCCAGCTGGTACGGATACACGCTATCGCTCCACGTAGTCGGGGTATAACAAAGGCAACTCAGGCACCCGCGTCTAAACTGTGCGGCTTACACGCTCTGAGCATGTGAGGACCGTCAAACCGTGCCCGCCTCCCACCGCCGCTCGCGTTGGTGCCACAGCTACGTCCAACTGCCTGGCCTGCCGTACGCTCCCTAACCGGCCTACCTTACAGGTTGGTTAGGCCTCCTGTCTCAGTCGGCGATTCGCATGGTGCCAGAGGGGGAAGCCTTTCAAATATCCGTGCGCCTTCTGAAGCAGCACTTCACTAGATGAGGCGGGCGGCGAAGCGCGGCTGTCTGATCACCTGTCCGCTTTGAAACGGCGGGTAAACTGTGCCCGCGGTCCCATAAGGGGGTGTGAGCTGCCGTTGTCGTGACGACAGGGCTCCTTTGACAGGTCGCCGGAAGGCTGTGATCAGCGCAGGAGCGCGGAGAGCCCCGTGACACCGGCATCCTTTTCATCCCACCTCCGTCGCTCAGAGAGCGGATGAAGCGAGCAGGGAAGACGGCGTTTTGTACATCGCTGCCCCTAATTGGATGCGGCGTGCTCTGCTGCATTGTCGAAAATTCTCAAGTGCTGCTTCAGTGTCAAGTACATTCCACTGCTAATTTGGGAAATACGAGTAATGCAAAGTAACCGACCGGAACCTGTGGCCTTTGTCTAAATTGGCCACTTTACCGTAACCAGATTGTCATCCAGGGTGACTGGGGATCCCCATGACGGTAATAAGCCGTTATGATGGATGGATGGATCAATGCAGTGGCGCTTGAAGGCCATGTGGCACCTTAGGCAAGCTTTGATTTGTCGTCCCCCCCCCCCGGCAAACTGCCTAACTTTTTGCTTATCTGACGCATTTCCGTCCTCCTAGCTGCAGTGAAAATAGATGGGTGGTGAAAAAAAAACTTCTACGGGGGAGGGGGGGTCTGCGATGGCAAAAGTTGTCGGGCTGGGCGAAGGTAAATGATGTTGACAAGGGGGCCCACCCGCTCATAAGATGCCCCTGCAACTGCCCGCTTTCCCCTTGCCAGGACCCACCGCCGGGCAGGAAATGGCAAAAGTGTAGAAGATACAGGCTTGATGGAAAACAGCTGAATTCTTTGTTAAAAAAAGTGGCCGCGTCGGTCCTGTGGTGTTTCGCGCAGCTGTCCCAGTTACCAGCGAATTCTGGCTACAGGCAGCAGGAAGGTTTCCAAGGAGTTACTGGGGGCTTACGGGGACTGGCTGAGTCCTTGGCAGGTTCTGCCGTGGAGACGTGTAATGAGACTTCAGGGACTGCCATCAAACGGGGGGGAGGACACCTGTTGACGCTCACAGTCAGTCACAGGCTAATTGAGGCTGCCAGGTACCCAGGCCCACGTTAAACGTTTCACAGACGATTTTGCTGGAGGTTTTGAAGTCCTCCTTAAGGGGACTGCCGGGGATTTCACGGATTATGTCCCTAACATTTGTAAATAAACAGTGGGATTTTTACGAGTCTTGGATCGCAGCTCTTCATCAGCTTGACGGATTATAAGAACGCAGAAATAAAGCAATCAGAAAAGAAGGGAAAAAATGCTGACTGCCCCAATAAGAAATCTAAATTTGTCTATACCAGTCTTTTTTTCATGATTGTTGCCTAGCTGCTGTTGACTGGAGGTGAGGTTGAAGTTTCGTGTGAAGTTTTTTTTCGCTTCTTGCTTTATGAATAATTTCTAATTAAAAGTAGTGAATGGTTAAATGAATAATGAATTATGCAGTACAGGCCCATAAATCTCACTTTGGCTGATAAGTGAAGACAAAGCTTGGTGACATTATGACAATAAATGAATCAGAAACTTGAAAATGTTTTTTTTTTTTTTCCTTTTCCATGAAAAAAGTTATTTTGGAGATTTTTTTTCTAGTACAAAAGGCTTTCTGCAGTCACATTCCACACAGAACAGCTGG